AGGGGGGGGACTGTGCCAGGCTGTCCATTATGTGACTGACGCGTGCTACTTCGTTTCTTCTTTGCCTTTTGCCTTCCAGGAAATGTTCCGAGATGCACGCCCGGCATTATGGCTCTCATGTCAATGCTACTCCCGACAAGTCCCCCACCCGAAGAGCAACTGCCAAGCAGATTGATGCTGATTGTTTCATTCATACAATGCAAAACTTGCTTAACATCAGTGGCACTCCTATAGTTGGAGGCGCCTTCCAACACCTTCCACGGGCCAATCGTCAATGACATCATCCGAGCCCACCAAACTGAGACTCACCCACACGCGCTTGCACTTGCACGCACAGCGCCCAAACTCAACAAGTAAGCACGGGGCAAACATGCAAGATAGCTTGATCACAAACATATCCAGAGAACACAGCAAACAAAGTCTGATTCTGAATCTTTACCAAAAACATCAACGGGATAACGGACTGGATTTTCTCAGAAATGTCCAGAGTTCTTGCACAGCACAAAACAAAAAAGATGCTGCAAAGGTAACGCCTCCCCAAACAAAACACGCAAAGATAAAAAAAGAATGTTCGGTGGTATTCCCTGCTATTTTCTTGCACGCTGGTTTTCGTCTGCTCTCAGGCTCTTCTTTTTCTTATTGTGAAAGAAGCGGCATATGATAGGGCAGTTCCTTATGCATTTTTTTTCTTTTGTGCTTTTTTCTTTTTCTGTTTTTGCGGGCGAAGCCGCAACGGGTCATCTAGTTATAATAATTATAAATAAATAAAAACTGAATCGGGGATCTCCACCAATCCGGAATCATCAACATTCTCCACGCCAGGTCTTCCGTCTGATGTAAGCTGACATGGCAGCAGCTGGGATCCAAGTTGCTGCCCCGTTAGATCAAAGCTGACATGGCATTAGCTGTGATCAAAGCCGCTGCCATCTCAGCTTGGATATGACGTGGCAGGAGCTGCGATGACGTGGCATCAGCTTGGAGGAGAGGGAGGGGGACGAGGAGGACGATGGGGAAGAGGAGGACGAAGAGAAGGGGAAGGAAGAGGTAAGCTTCTGTCTGTACGTACTGCTGTTTCTCTCTCTCTCTCTCTCTCTCTCTCTCTCTCTCTCTCTCTCTCTCTCTCTCTCTATATATATATATATATATATATATGACAATATATATATATATATATATATATATCGTTCTCGATCTGTCTTGCTCTGCCCCCTACTCACCATGCTGCTCCCCCTCCCTGGACTGACTCAGGCATGCAAGCGGCTGAGTTGCTGTCGATGCCATGACATTATCTGCGCCACTGCTTGATTGGTCGGGTTTGCTGGCGGTGTCCTTTTCACGATTACTGCTGTGCTGCAGCATGGGCTGGTGCTGCTTCTCCCCGAAGTTCTCCCACGGAGCTTCCATGGCTGCAGCAGGCACGCAACCCGCTGCCAAGAGGATGAGCTCACCTCTCCACTTGCTCAATGATTGCTGCATCAGCAACTGTGATTGGCTCATCTGCCTCCGCATGCGTATCCATGGCAGCCAGCTTGCGCTGTCTGCCCCGTTCCTACTCCGTCTCCTGCTGCCGCAGCACCGTACTCAGGTCTAATCATCCCAGCAGCGACATTGCTATTAGTACCAAATTGTGCATGGGCTCCAAGACTCCCCTTCATGTGTCTGATGACCCACCGCTAGTGATTCCGCCATTTTGATACCCTCGACATCGCTGGGGAGACAAGCTTGGTCAAGTGATCTAGTCCTAGCTCCCTCGAAACCTCAGATCCCCAATCGATCTTAGCGGATGTGGCAGCAGCTGCGGTCCAAGTTGCAACCACGTTAGATTGAAGCTGACATGGCATCACCAGTGATCCAAGACGCTACCACATCAGGGTGGATATGACGTGGCAGCAGCTTGGATTGCAGCTGCTGCCACATCAGCTTAGATCAATTGGGGATCTAATGTAAGGATGTAGAAGAGGAGGAGAGGGAAGAGGAGGACGAGGAGGAGGAGGACGAGGAGGAGGACGAGGAGGAGGGGGAAGAGGAGGATGAGGAGAAGGCAGTGGAGGAGGAGGAGGAAGAAGATTAGGAGGAAAACGAGGAGTAGGATGGCGATGGCGAAGAGGAAGATTTTAAAGAGAAGAGCTGTCATCGAAGCTGCATTTTTTGCCCAAAAAAAAAAAAAAAGAAGTAGATTTGAAAGGGATCTGGGTGAGCGCAAAATAGCCTCACCCCCTCGGTCAAAAAAGAAAAAGATTAACCCGGTCTTCTGGTCACCCGGGTACCCCGGGCGTGGGGGCGCCCGTGCAAGTTGGCCCGGGTCGCCCAGACAGGCCCGCCCGGCCGGGCAACTTGGGTAACCTAGGCATACATCGAGAAAAGCACATAGTTACGTGATCACATACCTCTTGTGCTGTTTTTTTTTTTTTTTTTCCCTCGACTTTTCTTGTTTTTGGTTTTGTGCCCTTCAAGAGTCTTCATAGTATTTCATACGGCTTATCCATTTCGGTGCACACTAGTTTTTTCCTCTCCCCTTTTAAATGCACACTCGTTGGTATTATATTATACTTTATATAATGAGTAAGGGCCTCCCTCCCCTACTCAACATTTTACATGCATTTGGACGGTTTCGGGACCAGGTGCACCTTGATGAGTGAAACATTTTTGAATGTATCAACTTACTATCAAGACTATCTTGTGCTCCAGTTACATATAGTGTTATGATCCTGGTCATTTCCCAAGTGCAAATTCACAATGAAAGACAATGCCACCCAATTGCGAAAGAAATGAAAGCACTTGCAAAGAGATAAAGACCAGAGGAGAGGTGAAGAAGAAGAAGAAGAAGAAGAAGAAGAAGAAGAAGAAGAAGAAGAAGAAGAAGAAGAAGTACACCAGCAAGACCAATGACAATTCCCCCTTCTCTCTCCACCTTCCTCCTCCTCCTTCTCTTCACCAATCTTATTCTTCTCTCAATAATAATAATAACAATGAATGGATGAACCAGAATCAATATCCGAAGTTCCCTCTTACTGCTGACTCAACTTCAACAACAACAACAACAACAACCAGTCCAGCATAGCTATGGCTTCCCTCCTTCAGCCTTCTCTCTCATGCATAGGCTATGACGGACTATTCCAAGCAGCTAGGGTGCTGCGCTGATGTCCGAAGGACAACCCAAGCAGCTATGGTGCTGCGCTGATGTCCAAAGGACAACGCAGACCAGCTATGCCGCTGCTGACTTGGTCCGCTATGCCTGACTCTGCCTCGAGCTTCCCTGGTGCCGCACCACCCCAACTGGGGCCTTCCAGATGCAGCGCCCAACAAGGTGATGAAGATGGTGTCTCCCATAGCCAGGTAAGTGCCCCGCCACTCTCCTACCATGCCCCCTTCTTCCTCCTCCTCAAGCTGGAGTGCTCGCCATAGCTAGGCTGAGCTCCAGCGGCCCTTCACCTCCAAGCAGCGCTGCACTGGTCCAGCGCTGCGCTCCCGCAGCATGTCGCCAATCCTTGCACACCGCAAATGAGGAAGAGCTCTCCGCTCTTCCTGAAGATATAGCGGCCTACCGGCCTCCTGGGCGGTGACTTCCTAGGCCGAGTGGCCTCCCAGCAACCGGTACCTCCTCCCTTTCGGAGGGAAACATCATTGCAGGCTCTGTTATCATCCGCACAGGCCCTAGACCCGGGCTACTTGGACTGGTACCGGCCTACCTCTACCCTGCCGCTACTGGGCCTCTAAAAATGCCAACTTTTGTCTTCTTCTGCTCGGCCTCCAGTACCCGACACTTCTACCACTACTTCAGTGGTACCGGCCTACCTGCTACTTGAGTGTTTTTCCCCTCTGCTCTAAGTGCCGCGGGCCTACCCCCACTACTCGAGTGTTTTTCCCCCTGCAACCCTTCWCAGTCACGGCCACAGGTAAGTACCGGCCCTGCGGGGCCTTGCAACCAACAAGTACCCTTGCGGGTCACACACACACTCAACCGTCAAGCACTCAGACAGGCATGCAAACCAGCAGGCACGCACACACACACAGACATGGAAATCACAGCAGAATGCGGGAATTTCAGCAAGGCATTCATTCCAGCGGCAAATCCCAGAAATCAGCAGTGTTCTCAGTCTGTGTTTTTGGCGGGTCATTACAATAGAGTGTTATGTAGTGGAGCAAGGCCCTAATCACCATGCCTAACATTACTGTACCATGATCAAGTATGGTCGTTGTAGATGTTTTAACTTTTAATTTTTAACAGTGCAAGGAATATGAGTGTGAACGATATACAGAAAACCAAGTTGCGAAATCACACAGATGTCCAGGTAGTGGTGTCCAAGCAGAGAATACAAAATGCACTGAGAAACCATCCATATAGAGCAATACAATGAAGTAATGAGCCAATGTTCAAGCCTGTAGGCCACACCAACACCGTATCCAAAGTCGCTCCTGTCTGGCGCCCAGCGCCCAGCCTACTCTACTCGACTATCCTACCTACAGCTGGTTCACGCAACAGGCTCACTTCAACTCTCGAAGACCAATGTACATGACTGTCAACACCATAGCCGACCTCTCTTCATGTACCAGGTACGTATCTCGTCACCCTCAATCAGACATTGATTACCCCACACTGTGTCTCCTTCCCTGAAGACCACCAGATCGCCCACTGTACCCCCTGGTGCCCAGCAGCCTGGCTATGGCCGCCTGCGCCCCGCTGCCCTGCAGCGCCCCTCCTCACCGCTACGCGCCCCGTCAGCGCCTTTGGCAGCAGCGCAGCATCAAGCGAGAGCGCAGCAGCACTTCCACATTGCCTGCGCTGGCCAGAATGCCTGGCCTGGGCTGCCTTACTTCCTTTATGGAAGTGGCAGCCTCCTGGATGCTACATGTGGCCTGGCTGGAAGCTTCCAGTAGCTTCCGGTTGGGCCGCAGACCCTGCGCCCAGGCCCGAGACTACACTTGAGGGCCTGGGCCCCATTTACAGTTGGGCACGGCCTGAGTCTCCGGACTTGGGCTGTTTGCTGCATCTGTGCAGGGCTCCCGGGTAGGTGCGTCGACAGTACTGCTTTTGCGTAGGCCGATGGCCTGCTTCTCAATGTATCGGCCCAGCTTTGTGTGTATGTGCCCATGCGTAACTGTCAAGGCCTGGGCCAACTGTACGATGCAGCTTAGTGAGGCTCGCATGTCCATTCAACCAACTGGCGTGCTGCAGGAGACCCACATATGAAAGTGTCGAATTTTGGCCTTTGATGAATATTCAGGCCCGCCTTCACTTAGGGCGGGCACTCGCTTGCTGGGGGCCTTAGCCCAGAACATGTGATGTCTGATAGGGCTCCTTGAGGGCTTGTTCCTCACAACAGTGTCCCGATACAAATAATTCGACATGTTTTCACATGCATACTTGATATATAACCGTAATTGTTTTCACATGTATGGTGATTGATTATTTGTTTATTTAATTATTTTTGTTAATGTTCTTTTTCTAGTATGTGCAAAAACAAAGGCCTTGTGAGTGGCGGATGGCCCAGTGGTTAGGGCACCGGTTGGAAATGCACATTGTGGTCTGAGGTTGCGGGTTCAAATCCGCAACCTCGTGCATATGCCGCCGACACGGCGTTAGGTTGACGCACTACCACTCACACACTGAGCGCGCACGCTCCCAGGGGCACGGATGTACACAGGGCTCTGCAGCTCTGGACCTGGGGAGCCACCTGCAAGGGTGCCCACTGGATGCTGATATCCCAACCGTACTTCCTGGGTCCCCGCAACAGTTGAGCGTGTGCCTCCCCTTGGGGTTGTCGAGGCCATGGGGGGGAAGTGGCTCCGGGAGGGGCAGGCTCAGTTGGAGCGTGCGGGAGGGGTGAGGGGGTCACCCCCCCCCTAGCAGGAGCTGGCGCGTCCCTGCGGCACCATTGTGACTGTGGTGCGTAATGCCTCCCAACAGTGGAGCCACAGGGAGGTGAAGCCCTGAGTAGGGGAGGGGTGACCCCTGCTGCTAGCGGCCTGGTAGCGCCGGTCTGGGATACTCCCGGGTGGGTTGCAAGGATCGTGCGTTCCTTCCTTGAGTGTCACTGGGTAGTGGGTGGGCCCGCTGCACCGCCAGTGGGGCTAACCCCGGCGCGGGAAGCCCTCTGTCGGACATCCTCCCTGGGTCATAACCCCCGACACCTCCACAACTCTTTATAAAAAAAAAAAAAAAAAGGCCTTGATGGAAAACAGTCTGTCACAGTCCCACTGTTTTTCTTATGCTTTTCTTTCCTTCCTTTCTCCCTACACTGCCTTTTTCGTTTTTTCTTCCTTTTTTTATTTTAACACAGCATTTCAGTGTATGTGTAGCCTTTTTTCCAGCTGTGGGTTTTTGGTAGGCAGTTGGGAACTTGAAAAGAAAGCAGCAGCTTCTTTTGACGCGTGTCATGATGGGATGTGCACAACCTGGTATTCATGTATGCATGTAATGACTGAATGCAATCGTCTTTTTTTTTTTTTTTTTAAGTTTTTTGAAGTTTTTTTTTTTTTACCAAAAAAAACCCTGTAATGACCCGTCATAACACAGACTGAGAACACTGCTGATTTCTGAAGTTCTGCCGATGGAATGGATGCCTTGATGAGATTCCCGCATTCTGCTGTGTTTTCTAAGTCTGTCTGTGTGTGTGCGTGCTTGTGACCTGCATGCCTGTCTGAGTGCTTGTTGGTATGAGTGTGTGTGGGACCCGCAAGGGTACTTGCTTGTTCGGTAGGCCCGCAGGGCCGGTACTTACCTGTGGCCGTGGCATTGAGGGTTGTAGCAGGGAAAACACTCAAGTGGCGAAGCTAGCGGCCCTGAGGCCCTTGGGGTTGCGGAAAAACACTCAAGTAGGCCGGTAGGCCGATACTGCACCCCACTGCAGTTGGCGTGAGGGGTACTGGAGGCCGAGCAGAAAAAGACAAAGTTGGCATTTTTAGATTCCAGTAGCGGTAGGGTAGGTCTAGGCCGGTACCAGTCCAACCAGTCTGAGTCTAGAGCCTGTACGGGTAATATCAAGGTCTGCAATGATGTTTCCCTCCGAAACGGAGGAGGTACCGGTTGCTTGGAGAGGCCGAGCGGCCTGGAAGTCACCGCCCAAGAGGCAAGCAGGCTGCTATATCTAGAGGCGGAGGCAAGAGCTCCGCCTCATTCTTCAGTGTGCGAGTTGGGCGTCACGCTGCTGG